TACGTTCATTAATTTTCTGGATATCAGAATTGAGTTTATCAATGGCCTCGTGTGCTTGTTGCCTGAAATCGAACATCGCCATCTGCTCACTCTCCATACTTTTCACTAGTTGCGCACGAACCCCAACCAGTTGTGATAAACGTGTACTGAACTGCTGCGCTGAAATGCATCCACTATAAACATCCAAATTTTTCATGCTTCATCTCCCGCTATAGTTTTTTTCCTTTCAGTAAGTACCAATCCACACAGTTACGATAGCGGAACTGGTTTAATTGTTTACGAAGTCCATTCATCCATCATTTCAATCATCGCTTTAGAGAAATATTCGTGAATTCGAGGCTGTGAGAAGAATGAGTGAATGAACAAGCCTTGTTCATGCAGTTTCTGCAATCCATGTATTCTTTGAACGGCTGAAGGCAAACCAACACAAGTATTATCCCACTTTGACATCAGTTCGTATAAATTTGACACCTTCTCCTCAAAATCTGAATCTGTTTTCTCTAATTTTTTCTCTTCCACCTGAAAACACACAAAACATTTACTTAACTAGGAAAAAACTGGTGAATGAAACGAAACGAAACAAATAGAAATTGTCTTTACAGAGGGACCCAAATTGATTTAAAACAATTGAAATCAAAAGTCACTAAAAGAAATATCTTCACCAACGCAACGTTACATAGTTATTCGCGTGAAAACGTTTAAATATTTGAATATTCATCATCAGTGAATGTTCGACAGATTTCATGACTAACGTATTCAAGAATAAGCAAATAATATTGAAGATACATCCATTTTTCATTCTTTTACGCTACATAAATTTCACTCGAAAAAAGCCGATAAATGGAAAAACAAGACAAAAGCGGATAAAGCATACATTTTTGCATTGTTCTCAGAATTGATAATAGATGTAACAAATGAATTTTGATTAAAAGGCCGCATAAAAGAGAATTAAAAAAATGAATGATTAAAAAAATGAACTAAACATGGATAAATCATAAACAACAATCAAACGTAACCAAAAACAAGGACCATATCAAAATGAATGAACACAAGACCTGTTTTAATTTAGCGAGAACTTGGTTAATACGAGAATGTAAGCCGTCCACATGAGTTGGATGAAGGAGCTGAACGCGCATTCTTAAATCTTCCATTGTTTCGGCTAACGGTACGCGTGATAATTTCTTCGTCAAATCATCCACAGTATCACATCCACCACAAACAAATCTTTCCAGACGTTTTAAACGATTCTCCAATACCACTAAACGATTATCATCGCCTGTTAACCCTGATTTTGCACTTGACGACATTCCTGTCTCTGACGGCGCCGGTGCAGTTTCAGTGCTGAAATCCTTTTTCGTCTTCTTCACAACATAGATAAGGGACTATAAATACGTATAACTGATATCCCTCAACCAAATAGGCGTTTAATTTACGGTTGGAAAGGACTCAAACCCACAACCTCTTTATTCACATATAATTTGAACCAGTTTCGATCATATGAGACCGAGAATTCCAAACGATTTTGAATTTTTCGGTTGATGAACTTCCTCATAAAACAAACTCTTATCTCCACTTTAGTCTTCTCACTGTTATCAGCCTATCTGCACGTTAGGTTCAACTAGTTCTAGAATGATTAGAAAAAATATACATTTCTGCAATCACTGAGCTGCGGTCCACCTGAGATGCGGTGGAAATTTGGGCAGATTTGTGAGCCGACTACTTCAAATCCTGCCCATCCAGCATCCCTGCCCCTCCCCAATCAGTTTAGTAATCAATTTTGATGAACCAACCCCTTGGCTACGTCGGTTGGTTGCTGAGGTGAGGTTTTACTGAGATGAATCGTCCGAATGGTTTCTAACATCTCGATTACATCCTCTCCTTTCACAACTGATTGCTTATCGGTACCATGCTCTCTCTGTTATTGCATGAACAATTATCATTTACATCAGTGCATAAAAACCTTTATTAGGAAATTTTGAACTAATCCGGACTCAATTTATAAGTAAATTCAGTTATGAAAACAACTCTGTCACAAATGCAAGCAGCACTGCAATGATACACAGCCATCTAATAGAAATTTACACTTTCTGAACGAATTCTTGAAATAACCTCTTCCTTCACAGCTTCAGCCAATTCAATGAGTTCATAATTCAAACGGTTGAATTTCTGCTCGACAGTTTCTTCCTCTTCGGCACTCGGGCCAACCACCTCAAGCACATAAGCACCACTACCATATCCGGTCCGTCGTTTTCTCGCTATTGAGTCAGAAAAATCTGAAAAGGAAAATTTTGAGAGCAGAAAGTAGCACTCTTAAAATGAGAGATGATAATGATAACAAATGAATGGATGATCAAACAAACAACTTCGCAAACTTTCACCAACCGACATGATCAGCATTCACCATACGTCCTTTGAAACGTTTCAGTGCAGTTTCCATGTCGATGTGGATGCGTTCCACTTCTTAAAGCAAAAATCAATGAAGTAATTCATGCCTCATCATTTCTAACTAACAATTACGATAGGGTTAATGCTAAACAGTTCAACATTCTACTTGCTCAACATTCAGAGCAGACTTCGACATTTCAAGTAAAACATTACTATAATACTTAATTTCCAAAACTCCGTCATCGTAATACGGTCGTTCCAATCACCTCAATCAATCCTCCTAATTGTTCATAATTAACAAACATAACCTTCGGAATTTTCAGTTGACTCTTCTTCACGCAGATGTTGCTCATCTTCTGGCAAATCCTCTGTCTCATAAACGTCTTCGGTTTGGACCGACATTTTCTCAACTGCAATTATCAGTTAAGGAAAATGCACAGCCTACAGATAAATACTTTATGAAATTTAACACGTTCGTGTAAAATAAAACAACGAAAGAATGTCAATGCTTAAATACTGAATGATTCATAAACAATGTCCCATTTCATGCACCTTTCACACATGATCAATGGAAAACACCAAAACACGAAGTATCACATATTAAAACTTATTTGAAAATAAGTGATGANGAGTTGCACATTCCGGGTTTCTCTTGAGCAAATGCCACTACTCGATTGGGCAGAAACGCAGAGATGGCTCAATTTAGGTGGCAGAGTGACTAGTGGCATGCGCAGTTGGAAATGTTATTCAATGCAGGCTGAACGTTAATCGTATTAGGAGATAATGCATTGGCGAGACAATTTCTGTGTTTCAACAATTTTATTGTTAAGCGTTTATCCGAATTGTTAATCGGTACTGAAATGCAACGAATTCGCTCGTTGTCGGACGCTATTCCGATTTTCAACCGAAAATTCCATTCCGTGTGTTTGGCTCAGTTATTATTTGGAATTTTGGTTGGTAGTCTAATTGGACTGTCTGCAAAATATGAATATGAATGGAACGCGAATTTGTATGGTGATAATGCATTGGACAACGAGCTATCGGTGTTAACAGGGGACACCGTCGATGAGGACAACGACATCGCAACGAGCAGTATTTACATTAGATGCATTGTTATAGTTTACAAACATCGTGATAAGAAATCGAGGTATATCAGCGCCGTTAAAGACACATATGCAAAACAGTGCAATAAAACTTTGTATTTCATCGATTCGAAGCAATTGCAGAGCGAATTTGCTGGTTAACTATTTGCATTTTTATTATCCGTTTTCAACGCAATTTTTCATTATTTTGAGTTTTTTTTTCATCTCATCATTGAATTGGCATTGAATGCAGAAAAAATTTCACTTCCATTGCGATCGAAAATTATTTTGGTTCATCAGCCTTCAGCTCAGTTGAAACACTCTCAGTTTTGTTCGAGATCGTTATTCTCATATTGATGGCAATACTACTCGGTTTTTTNTTTTTTCGATGTCATTACTGTAAATTTATTGATGTATTGTTCAGAAGAACTGCAGACGGTTTATGTCAATTCATGGCAGACGGCTTATTATTGGAATTTTTATGGAAAGGTGTTGAAATATGTGAGTAGTAATTTGTTGAATGAAGTAAGCAGTGAAAATGCAATAAGTTGGACGGTAATTGGTGATGAACGAATGTACGTTGTGGTTGAGAATCTGAGAAAATATCTCACCAGATTCGATCGTCGAAAACCAATTCTGATCGGACGTGTTACGATAACAAGGTATCGTTTGATTCTTTCACTTCAATGGTGTTATTTCAATTCCATCAATAGTCACCGCTGAACGAGAATCCAACTCCGGTTTTCACTGAAGTATTTTCGTGGTAATCTATTTTATGAATGCCTATTTGATGATGTGGAAAGATCTTCGGTCCGAGGAACGTAAGTGAATAAATTACGTCCTGAATCCGAGCTGTTTTACACTGGAATTAGGATTAAAGTGAGTGAATGATGTGCATGCTTTGCCAAATCTGCAATGTTTACGTTTATGCGCATCATTACTGAAGATTTTATCCGTGTGCAAAATGGTCTGCATGAGATAAATCATATATTTGTATTCCACGAAATTTGAATTTTTTAATGTAACATTCGGATGCGCTTACGAGTATTCGATGCTTTCCAGCATAGTAATGAAAGGATTTGATTTAAGGAATTTATTATCGTATCTGTTTCCGTTTGGTCGACAATCAACAATAATGTCGTTAAAAGCTGGCATGATATTTTCTGATGAAGCGTTGAAACTGATAACAAAGGATGACACATGTGATTATTGGGCATTTCCAAGATCTACTGAAAAAGCGATTATCAAGTGTGCATCATCACTTAACATTCGTATCGTTGATCCTACTGATAAGGTATGGCCTCTTTACAGTTCATTTTTGTTGAGGTTTAATTGCAGATATCCTGATTCTGTTTGAATTGAGTCGTATTCTTTTCTGCAATGAAATTTTGATAAAGTTTTAAAATTTTTGTCACAATTGTCACTAGCGTTACGTCACTGTGAACTGTGAATAGATCATTGAGATATTATAAGAAATGAATGATAAATAAAATAAAGTTAAAGGACGGAATGTATTTAATGCACTCAAAAAGTCCAAAGGATCTTATACCTACATCGTCGCAGTTTACGTTCACTTCACTTTACAAGGTATCGTTATGGTAACCCATTATAAAATTCTGAAACTTTCACATTTTTATATTCGTTGAGTGGAAAACTATGCTGAATTTAATATTGTTTTTTTGACTTCCAATATGACAGATAATAGGTAATAATGTACTAAAAATGGTATTTATTATAAATAGTAAGTTTATTATGCTGACTGTTATCATCTCGATGCAGAAAACAAACGTGAAGGTGGAATGCTGCAGTGATGAGGCGATTACATTCGGCGATATGAATTATAAACAACTACGCATGATTGATTTCTTTACAAAGGCGAAGGTGTTCGGTATTTCTTAGTTTACTTATTCACTTGGTATCATTATGATTGTCATTAGTACCAATGTACTATGCTGTATATTGTTGTGGTTATGATCATATATTTTCGACATTGTTGTGGTCATTCTGCTTATTATTTCCAGTTACTTGTGATTCTCATTAAATTATTAAGAATCTTACGTGTGAATATCAGTGTAATTGTTATTCAACAGTGGTAATTATTATTATCGGATTTATATCAGTCATATCATTAATATTGTTGAAAGTTTCTCTTCAGGAATCCGGCCAATGAGATTTGTTTGCATTTAGTGCCTTTTGTTTTCATTTATTTCTGGTGCTATCTTCACGCTNTTTTTTGTTATATGAATGGTTATCTCGAGGGATGAATACTTATTCATGCTACCTACTTGTTATCATCCATTAAATATAAATCATTGCTTTGGTCTGTCGGTTATTCATATTTCATAGTGCTATTCTGTTTCCACGGTGCTTCAGTTTTCGAGATTCTGTTATGCTCAAACTCAGGTTCGAGCGTGGTCTTACTTTCGTGTACAGCGTTTAGACTCGATTTGTTCCGAAGAGATTTATTCTGAAACGAGGCATCGTGGTAGTGAATGTTTATAATTTGCATTTGTAATTGTTATGATTCACAACTTGTGAATATGTTTATGAATTTGTTCGTTTGGTTGTGAGTGTTGACGTAAAATGATAATTATGATCAATGATTTTATTAGATGAGCGCATATAAAAAATTTTATTTAGATGGTCGTCATTGGTGCTAGTATTGACATTATTGTCGCATACTATCACTGATAAAACATTTACAGATGTCATTTGTTGTTCGTGATTCCACCGTGCGCAGTTAATATTCGTCATCTTCGATCAGTGATGAATCCTTACTCACCTTAAAACATCATTACTCAATGTTTCATCACATCCCTTTCATCCATTTTTTTTTTCAACTGAAAGTTTTCATAAATTCTTGAATTCGAAACGTATTTTCCATTATGAATCCAACAGTAATTTGTGTCTTATTTCGACCAGTTCACATATAAATTTGAGTTTCTTCACTTCATCATTCATTTTCTTTCTATCACTTATTTACTCAATAATCTGTTAATCTCTTCAATGTTTTTGTTTGCATGTGTTCACTCAAAAAATGCATAATTTTTCTTAACGGTCGCACCTCTTCATAGTCACGTTCAAGTGCGGCCAAATCTTCACGAGCCTCTGTAAACTCTCCTTCTTCCATACCTGTTTACAATATTATCGTTTATATTGTCATCATTATCATTATTTTATCATCATTATTAACGTAGTTATTATAATCACTATCGGCATTCATAATTTACTTTGTTCTGTTCATTTGGTATTTTATTTTTGCACTTATATGTGATAACTATCCTCGATTTACATCCACTTTTCTTACGGTTCTTGCGTTGTTTGGTTTGGAACTTCATTTTGGTTTCGATTATTTTTTGACGTTAATTCATTTGGGATGTTAATTGCAATGATCTTATCGTAATGTGAATCCTAAATTTCGTGTTTTACATCATATAATAAGTGGGTAATTATTTTCGTTCTGTGATGATAATGCTATGAAGGTAATGTTATTCAAATATTGTCGTTGGTTATTACTAACAATAAGTTTATTGTTACTGTTACTATTTTATTATTTATGTCAATAATTGCCATATTTAAACGAGCCAACCTTCGCCAACATACCAATGAACGAATGCCCTCTTCGAATACATCAAATCAAATTTATGATTCAAACGTGCCCAAGCCTCGGCGATTGCAGTCGTATTTGATAGCATACATACGGCTCGATGCACCTTTTTGACATCAATTACACGATCATTTTTATGATTGCAATAAATCAATACTGAGCTGCGGTTCCGTTGTTTTTTTTCCCGTCATTTTTAAAACGCGTTTCATTCTCAAACCAAGTTCATAAGCGATCGAAAGACACTGTTAGGATCGGTAATTTGATCAAGTAAAGGTGATGTAATAACAATTGATACCTCCGCAAGATCTCCTCCAGTAACCGACGTTGGTGGCTGATAGTTTATGCCGACTTTAAATCCTGTTGGGCACCTGCATATAAAATCGTCTCAGTTTCACTCGAATATTCGTTTTGAAACACGATTATCGATGTTAATCAAACAAGCTTTGACGTAGATCAAGGCAATCATTCACAGTTACATATCGCTTCAAATTGCCTTCGAAAATAAAGCATGAGGGCCACGCGCTGAATCGATCAACTGTAGCGAAACAGCTGGTTGGAGGGAATAATTGGTTTAATTGCAAGAACGAGCACTTTGATTTTCTAACGATAGGAATGAAAGTGATGTTGAAGATTGTTCGGGTTGAATGATTTTAAGCAAGCCGGATGATGGTAGCTGAAATATGGCTGAGGTGGAAAAAGGGATGAGGGACGGCGAGCGGTGAGAGATGTTCAGTGGGAAATGTAATCAAGTATTCGTCTGATTGCTCTATTCCAGAATGAGTTCAAAAAATCGAACCAATCAACGAATCGAATTCCTCGTTTCGTTTTAATTGTCGCAATTGCAGCGTTCACATCTTTCGGAACCACATCTCCTCGGTACAGTAAACATACCGCCTATAAGATTTCTCAAAAAATACTTCTCATTATCGTCGTCGTTATTGTAATTGTTATTATGCCCACCATGATTATTGTCATCTTTCGAATGTCTATCTGTTTTAAAAGACATTTTCAGTAATTGATTGCTTTTCATGAATTTCTGAATACATATCGCAGATTTAGATGTTTGCAGATTCAGATTCATGCAAAATTGCAGATATCTGATTGATTATCAATTTGTTCAATTTTTTTACCGTGAAGATCAAATTCACTGATTGGAATCTGAGTTAATCATCGGATGGGTTTCATCCGAATTCAATGAACAAAACAATTCTCACCATGTACTTCCCTCTTCGAGGATCACATTTAACCATTTGATTCTGAGGTTCGAAACACATCGACGTTATGTCGCACACTGATAGTTGCTCATGGTAAGCCTTTTCGGACGAGATCACTGGTGCATAAGTTGCTAATGGGAAATGAATTCGAGGGTATGGTACGAGATTTGTCTGAAGGTGCTTTATGGTTCACTGATTGTTACTATAGAATAAAACGAGCAGTGATGATAGCACAACATTTTGAATAAATGAACCTGGAATTCGGCAAGATCAACGTTTAATGCTCCATCAAAACGCAATGAAGCTGTTATTGATGAGACGATTTGAGCTATTAAACGATTCAGATTCACATATGATGGACGCTGGAATTTTTAATACATCATATTATGATAACACAGCCAGGTTCTTGAGATTCCTAGTGAATATTTTCGTGACAATCAAATTTGAGTGAAAGCCGATCAAGGATTGTCTGATGAATATGAGTTCGGTCACTGATGATAAAAGGATTAATTGAATTATCCGAGAGATATTCAAAATCCAAGAGATGACTTGCAATGAACCAATTCACCTCAATATCAAGATTCCGTCTGCAAATATCGTAAATTGCCTCGTTATCGACCATAAACGAACAATCCGAATGTTCGAGTGTTGTGTGCGTTGTCAATATTGAATTGTATGGCTCAACAACTGCCGTTGATACTTGTGGTGCTGGATAGATACTATAATTGCTCTCATATAAATACGTTTCTCAAAAATATGTTGATTAGGATATCTGAGCATGCAAAGAACAGTTTATTGATGAAATTGCTACATCGATGTGATTTCATGAATGAATCAGTTAAAAACAAATAAAATATGTAAGGCATGAAACCTGAATTCCAATTTGGATTTCTTCCCGTACTCAACAGATAAACGTTCCATGAGAAGTGATGAAAATCCAGAGCCCGTTCCTCCACCAAAACTATGGAATACCAGAAAACCTTGTAATCCCATACATGGTTCTGTCTGAAAATCTCGCCCGAAATTTGCATCGGATTGTGCAAATATAGCTGGGTCGATACACATCTCATGAAATGCAAAGCAATAAACCATCTGAACCTGTCTTCTGATTTTTTCGAGCACTTGATCGATGAGTTCTTTACCGATCGTGTAATGCCCTCGAGCATAATTATTGGCTGCATCTTCCTTGCCACTGATCAACTGATCTGGATGAAATAGTTGTTTGAATGGTCCGTTACGGATTTCGTCTGAAATCACCAAGTGCCTTTACACTCCTGTCGATCTCTTGCATTGAACATTGAAAAATTGTGTCTCTGATTTAATTCATAAACACTTCCTGAAGACTGTGATGATCTCTCATACATGAACTGTG